AGAGAAAAGGGTCCCAGGAACAGGTGAGACTCGGGGACAGAGTCGGGGCCAGCACTGTCCTGAGTCTAGGCAGAAGCTTTCATGCTCTGGGTTTGCCCCACTTTAGTGAGAGAGACCCCTAGTGTCCCAATATGCCTTCTCTCTCTGTCCCTCAGCTCTGAGTTCTCACTGCTCCTTCAGCCCCTCCTTCAACCCCCATCTGCTCCTGGTTCCCATGAGTCACCCAGGATCTTGCAGGGTACACAGGATAGGTGGTGGCTGGAGGGAACAGTAGAGGCCGACTTGGAGCATGCAGGCCCACTGAAGTAACAGGTGTTTTTGTTGTCTCTGCAGACATCGTCAACTGTGACCTGAAATCCACACTGAGGGTGCTGTACAACCTCTTCACCAAGTACCGGAACATGGAGTGAGGGGTCACCTGGGCCCCCACTGCCCAGAAGTCTTGCTGTAGGCAGAATGGACCATCCTCTGAACCATCTTTCCCTGCTTACCCCTCTCTTGCTCTGTGCTTTCCCACAAATCCAGCTACAACCCAGAGACAGTGGGAATCAAAGCCAGGAAGGGAATGATCAGTACCCAGAGAACCAGCTTGCGGCTCCCAGGCCCTGCAGTTGGACCCAGCAATGACCTGGGAAGGTTGTCCCCATCCTGGTGCCAGGTCCAGATTTCCCTCAGTGTGATTTGGGAATCAGCTTCAGCAAAAGAGAGTCGCCGGGAGCTGACCATAGAGATCACGGTCACCACTGAGTGGGTGTGCATGACGGGCCGGGTACCACGCTGAGGGATCTGACACTCGAGCACATTAATCCTCACAGCTCCCACTGACGGAGGTGTCATAATCCCCTCTTACAGATGAGGAAACTGAGGCTCAGAGGTGGTGACTTGCCAGAAGTTGGAATTTGTTTTTCCTCTGAACAATCTCTTACTAACTAGTCAATGATATCACAATCTTTTGCATTCTAAAGTTCTGTGTTTGCACACACATGCATATATATGTGCATGTGCACATCTGAGCAAAGGGAGGTAAGAACCCACTGATCTCACAAGGGCAGACGAGGTCAGGCTTATGATTCCCACTGAAATTGGCAAATCGAATTTCACCCAATTAATAGTGTGTGTGTGGCAGGAGCCATGTCCCTCAAATCCTTTGTACAAATGAAAATTACTCTTAATTCCTTCAGATTTATAATAACTCCGTACCCAGGTTTCAGGATGACATTTGGGAAGGGTTCTCTTCAGAATTAATGGACTGACCCATTTTACAGCCTTTCTGCTTGATTGCATGTAATGGAAATGCCCTATATTTTCCCGCAGAATGCACGTTCAATTCATTATCGTTAGGCAAATGTACAAAACCCTCAGGCACCGCAGAGAGCCAGCGCAGGCCCACGTGAGCCTCACTTAGGAAACAGGGCTCTTCAGCAGGGACCCTTGAACTTTAAAGAAAGGAACTCCTTTTGCCTTCTAATTGATCATTTAGACCATTCTGGCTAAGTCTGCCCACATGCAATTACCAGCTAATTTGGGCGAGGAGGAAAAATGTAAGTCATTTAGACCAAAGCTGGCAGTTTCCTGCGTGGGTTACTCGGGACTTGTGGTAACTTGAGTCTCCTCTATGAGAACCTCACTTTGAAACTCAGAGCTGTGGTGGTACTGGGCTGCTAGGTCCGATAGGAACAGGAGAGGGGCTGAGGGGGAGTGGGCAGTGACTAGGGGGACAAGAAACATGGGCAAAATATTTGCAGACTTAACATACAGCACACTGCCCTCAAGGACAGAGAGGCAGGACTTATGAAACTTACCACTGGACCCGTAGCTTGACCGGGACCTTGGGGGAAATGATAATAACTTGCAGTTGATACTATATCTTCATTATAGAATTTACATAAATATGCTAGATAGACACCAGCTGGTGTCCCCTCTTCTAGAAGTCTGTCTGCCTTGTCACTGCTTAAAGCCCATCTCTAGTTTAAGGCATTTAATATGATCTCTGACATCCAAAGTCAGGCCTAGCATATTGTCCAGAACATTCCTTTCAACCTTGCCATGCGCTAACTCAGAATCCATACAATTTAGATATATATTTCTTTGGATATTTTGCTCTAAGAAAGACTTATTACTCAATGAGCATTCAAGATGTATAGGCAATGGATGCTCATGTCAATTTCTGTCAAAGAATACGATTCTTTTTTTTACATATTTAGTGAGTCATATTTTTATTAGGAAACACTAAATACTATAATGTTTCTATTGCTGTCTTTTAAATCTCTGGTAGCAAATCGAGATAATTGCTTTGTCTCCTTGAGCAATACTGAAGCAGGATGAAATGAGAAGAATGTATTCACTTAAACATGCTTTACTGTATGAGTTTTGTCTTGGTCTTTTTTCTCTTAAGTTTAAGCTGCAAAAATACAAGTGCCCTGACTAGATCTGCTCCTTTTTCTAATTTACATATACACCATGTGTATGAAAACACACCAGAACACTTGGAGAGCTCTGATTTGTCAGCAAATTGTGGGGTTTTGTTGTTGTTGTTGCTTTTGGGGGTAGAGGTTTTTGCTACAGGGTGCGTGTGCTCGCCAGACAGAGAGACAAAAGCAAGATATCAACCCTCAGGGGGGATGGACATGCTGCAATCCCTTCTCCTCCATTCTCCTCTCAGGATCTTGGGCACGCACGCACACATGCCTGGCGTGAGTTTAAGCAACTGGGCCCAGGACTTGAACCTCAGTCAACTACATGAGAGTCCAGTGACATAGCCATTACACTAACTGCTGGTCCCAGCATATTGTGTTTTGAAGGGAGAAAAAGGCAAAACAGAGATAATAAAGAGGCAGAACAATAAATAAACCAAACCTAACCCTCATCTCTTTAAAGAGAAAGAAAAGAAAGAAGTAATTGAAACAAAAAAATCAAGCCTCTGTAGGCTCATTGGGGTTTTTTTTCTCTTAAAATTTATATTAATTGTTATTTTTAACAGTTAATACATAAATCATGCCAAGTTCAAAGAGCACAAGAAGGATCTGAAAACCTACTTCTCCCTTGTTCCCTTTCCCTAGCAGCTACTGCCCCTCCCCAGAGGCAAATATCTTGGTCTGTTTCTTGTGCACACTTCCAGAGATACACCAGGTCTATAAAGCACAAGTGCACATAGAAAATTTGGTGCTTTTCAAAAATATATAAACAATATTTTCTACGAGGGATTTTTTGCTATAGGGCATGTGCACTCACCAGAGAGAGAGAAAGTGAGAAATCACCCCCAGGGGGGATGGCCACACTGCAATCCCTTCTTCTCCATTCTCCTCTCAGGACTTTGGGCACGTACGACACACATGCACCCGGCACCCGGCGTGAGTTTTAAGCCACCAGGTCCATGACTCGAACTACAATCGACTCTGTGGGAGTCCAATGATGTAGCCATTACACCATCTGCTGGTCCCTATAAATAGCACTGCTTTTTTTTCTACTTGCTGTTATGTCTTGATTGTTTTACACTGGATATTAGACATTTCACATCTTAAAATGAGAGAGCACTGTGTAAATCCAAATGGAAATTTCAGCTCTGTTTGAGCTGGGAAAGGAAAGCCCTCAGCAGAGAAGGGAAAGCTGCCTAGATAGTGATTTCAAAAGTGGGGATAGACCGATGGGGTCGAGGCGAGGGGAACCTGCTACCGGAGGCATCCTCACATGCCTGGGAAGTGATTTATGTTTGTTTGCTATAGGGTGTGTGTGCTTGCCAGAGAGAGAGAGAAAGAGAAAGTGAGAAAGCACCCCCAGGAGGTATTTTGCAAGAAGAGATGGCTACACCACAATCTCTTCATTCTCTTGGGATTTGGGGCATGCACACACACATTTTTTTAAGCCACCAGGTCTGGGACTGGCCATATGGGATCCAGCCACCTTAACCACTATACACTGATGGCCCAGAACTCTTTTCCTTTTGTTTAGTCCCTTTCAGAACATTATGGTAAAGTGAATGCAGTTTGATAAAGCCTTTGTTTTTACACATTACTAGGGCTACTAATTTGTAATTGCCTAAGAAAGCATAAAAGTTACTGAGTGCCCCACAATATTCTGCTACAAAATCCAGCTCCGGCCATGCAATGTTCCTTTGCTCTATTAAAAGGGACTGGCACTCCATGTGCAGGCAGAATTGACCTTTCCAGAGTCTGGGGGAAGGTTTCTTTATCAGCACATCATCAGGGCTGTCTTGAGTTTTTGTTTTCAATTGCTGCTATCAGTACTTTTTAATTACAAATCACTGTAGCTTAGCTTTATCATGATCAGTTTATGTTGTTCTGGGCTGCTTGGTTAGCCCAACAGCGTGCACTGAAGCTCGTGTGCATCAGTGGTACTCTGGGGCTATAATTTTCCAATAACTAGACCCTAAGACATGTATACATTGTGGTTCAAACTGAATCATCCATACCCCAGTGCTAGAGCAAGTATATACATAATCCACTCCCCAAAATTAGTACTAATTTAATTTTCCACTGGAAAACAAGACTAGATGGAGTCAATAGGTCAAGCCGTTTTGCTGGCCTGAGTGGGAGTGGATCAAAACTCATTTTAGACCCACTGTCTTTTGTTTTTTACTAGATAATCCCACCTCTAGAGTACATCCTACATACACGCAAGAGGGCTATGTCCTGAAATCTTCGCTAATTCCCATGTTGCATGTAGTTTTCCCCATAAAATTCACTTAGGTCTATTGGAAAATTCAAGAGCATTGCTATAGATACTGAGAACAAGAGAACTGCTCTGAGATGCATAACTGGGAGGTAGGTGGACTCTTGTTAGTAGGCCTAACTAACTACAGAGGGTATATCTACAGAACCCAGGTCCCTGAGGGTTTTCCTTTATCTCTCTTTTTAAAAATTTGCTATGGGGCATATAGTACTCACTGCAGAGAGAGAGAGAGAGAGAGAGAGAGAGAGAGAAAGCATCCCCTGGAGGATAACCACACCTGTCTCTTCTCCCTTCTTTGGAGATTTGGGACATGCACACACAAATTCAGCATGTTTTTCAAGCCACCACGTTCAGGACTTGAACCACACAGTTAGCCATGTGAGATCCAGCCTCCTTAACCACCACACTCCCTGGCTGTCCCTGTTTTTCCTCTCTTCAATGAAAAAATACAAGGCCAAGTTAGCAGCACAATTTGCTCCTGTGCCCTGCTTGCCTTTGGTGGCAGTTGCATATATAAATATATACATGGGGGGGGGGCATCAAAAAACTCATGAAAAGTGTTTATCATTAAAAATACAATGTATGTATTTCAAGCTTTTTTGCATCAAAGTAAACTTCTACTTCAATTCCATTTTCTACAATCTTTTAGAAGGGCCTGAGTAGGTTGATGACAACTGCAAAGCAACTAGGAGGGTGCTCAGTGCAGAAGGAGTATCTTCCCACACCAAGCCTGACCATCGTGAGAACATCAGGCCTCCCAGGTAGGAAGCATCGTCTCTTAAAGTATATCCTACAAGGTATTAATAGATGTTAGGGGAGAAAAATTAGTTTGAGAAACACGGGCTAAGAAAATTAAACCAGCTTTATTAAGCTCTGTTTTCCTAATCGGAGCCCAACCCAGACTCAGATACACTAATGACTACCTGAAGATAGAGAATGCAATAGGGCCCAACCTTGGGCCACAGGACCTACTTGCTGCCTGAGAAAGTTCTACAATCAGTGCTCTAGACCTCATCCATTCATTCAGCCTCTCAGTCTTAAGCCTGCCTAGCAGGTGTGTGTTAAGTAGAGTGTTCAGTGTGAGTGAGAGCTCACAGCCTAGTGGGGAAGGTGCACAAAAAATAATAGCAAGTCATTGTTAGTTACCGATTGTGATGACCTCTGTAGATGAGAGGAATGTATAAATACGAAGAAGAAAAAGAAAAACATACATGTTAACCACATAAAGGCTGTTCATACACACACACAAATTATGGGGCATAGCAGTTACGTCACTGGACTCCCACATGGCCGGCCATGGTTTCAGTCCCAGAGTTGGTGGCTTCAAAATCATACCAGGTATGTGCCCAAGATCCCAGGAGGAGAATGGAGAAGAGGGGATTGTGGCATAGCCATTGCCCCTGGGGGATGATTTCTCACTTTCCCTCTCACTTACTGTCTCTCTCTCTCTCTCTCCGGTGAGTGCCCAGGCCCAATAGCAAAAAACCTCTCCAAAAAAAAAAAAAATTATGGAGGAGAACTAGTTTAGGTTTTGAGGTCGAGAGCAGTCTCTGACAAAGTGATGTTCTGAAAGGACCCAAACCAGGGAGCTACCCAAGCAAAGAGTTGCCATTCAAGGGCTCAGCATGGAGGGGGATCTCAAGATTAGGTTTGTTCTCAAGATGAACTGGCAGAAAGCCAGGATGTCTCAAACACAAAGGGTGAGGGGGGAAGAAGTGGTATCAGATCATGGTGTCAGAGGAATGCAGACTTTTATCATGAAAGTAGGGAGCAAGCTTATTTAAAGCATCCTCTACTATATGGGGACTCCAAGGAAAGCTCTCTGTCAGCAACATGGAGGTCTGAGACCACTGCTGCCATTGCCTATCACGGTCATGGCGGGACACCCATCAAGCCTCTGCCCAGTTCCAGCTCCAACTGCCTCAGTGAATGCTGGGTAGTCTGTGACTACACCTTCCCTGAGGCTGCCAGGGCAGGAGCTCCTACGCTGTCCCCATCCTCCACTGAGAGGAGCTACGGGAACCAGACAGACTGATAAAGCTGTTCATGTGCACTAACGGAAAGAAGAGGGGCCAGCTCAGTGGCACGGCGGTCATGATCTGCTTGAGCAACGCGGAATCCACAGGGATTCCATACTGAACCCACATGTACGCTCTGTATGGGAGCCAGGGGTGGGGCTGCACCACCCGCTGGCCGTTAGAGGTCATGGGTTTGGCTCCCTGTTGACCACTACAGGCTGGACATGCACACCTCTGATCCTGGCTGGCCGGGGGTAGGATCAAGGCACGAGACCCTATTGAGGGTACTTGTCTTTTTGTCTTATCTTTCAGTAGTAGAAAAGAAATAAACTTCAAAAAAGAAAAAGAAGATTATCAGGTCAGGAACGGATCCAAGTCAGGGCCACTGTTTCCAACTTTCAGGCCATGGAAGATGACTTCTGTTTCATCCTTATATGGATGATCCTCACAGGTAGGGGAGACACAGGGTGGGGGAAGCGGCCATTCTGTCAATCAGCTGGTGGGCCTCCTGGATGTGGATCATCTCGTTTTCCAGCTTCATATTAATCAGCACAAATTATAATTGTTACAATGCCTACCATATTATGTAAAGCCTTGTAAATGGGGTGGGGGGGGTGTCACAGGCTTCACAATGTCTGGGAAATATTTGTCATAGGAAGG